CAGTACCAGTAGTGGCGGCAGTACCAGTAGTGGCGGCAGTACCAGTAGTGGCGGCAGTACCAGTAGTGGCGGCAGTACCAGTAGTGGCGGCAGTACCAGTAGTGGCGGCAGTACCAGTAGTGGCGGCAGTACCAGTAGTGGCGGCAGTACCAGTAGTGGTACCGGCAGTACCAGTAGTGGCGGCAGTACCAGTAGTGGTGGCAGTACCAGTAGTGGCGGCAGTAGTGGCGGCAATAGTAGGAGCGGCAGTAGCGGGCAGTAGTAGCGGCAGTACCAGTAATGGCGGCAGTACCAGTAGTGGCGGCAGTACCAGTAGTGGCGGCAGTACCAGTAGTGGCGGCAGTACCAGTAGTGGCGGCAGTACCAGTAGTGGCGGCAATACCAGTAGTAGTGGCAGTACCATTAGTGGCGGCAGTACCAGTAGCAGCGGCAGTACCAGTAGCGGCAGTAGTACCAGTAGTGGCGGCAGTATCAGTAGCGGCGGCAGTACCAGTATTGGCGGCAGTACCAGTAGTGGCGGCAGTACCAGTAGTGACAGCAGTACCAGTAGTGGCAGCAGTACCAGTAGTAGCGGCAGTACCAGTAGTGGCGGCAGTACCAGTAGTGGCGGCAGTACCAGTAGTGGCGGCAGTACCAGTAGTGGCGGCAGTACCAGTAGTGGCAGCAGTACCAGTAGTGGCGGCAGTACCAGTAGCGACAGTACCAGTAGTGGCGGCAGTACCAGTAGCGACAGTACCAGTAGTGGTGGCAGTACCAGTAGTGGCGGCAGTACCAGTAGTGGCGGCAGTACCAGTAGTGGCGGCAGTACCAGTAGTGGCGGCAGTACCAATAGTGGCGGCAGTACCAGTAGTGGTGGCAGTACCAGTAGCGACAGTACCAGTAGTGGCGGCAGTACCAGTAGTGGCGGCAGTACCAGTTGTGGCGGCAGTACCAGTAGAGGCAGCAGTACCAGTAGTGGCGGCAGTACCAGTAGTGGCGGCAGTACCAGTAGTGGCAGCAGTACCAGTAGTGGCGGCAGTACCAGTAGCGACAGTACCAGTAGTGGCGGCAGTACCAGTAGCGACGGTACCAGTAGTGGTGGCAGTACCAGTAGTGGCGGCAGTACCAGTAGTGGCGGCAGTACAAGTAGTGGCGGCAGTACCAGTAGCGACAGTACCAGTAGTGGCGGCAGTACCAGTAGTGGCGACAGTACCTGTAGTGGCGGCAGTACCAGTAGTGGCGGCAGTACCAGTAGCGACAGTACCAGTAGTGGCGGCAGTACCAGTAGTGGCGGCAGTACCAGTAGTGGCGGCAGTACCAGTAGCGACAGTACCAGTAGTGGCGGCAGTACCAGTAGTGGCGGCAGTACCAGTAGTGGCGGCAGTACCAGTAGTGGCGGCAGTACCAGTAGTGGCAGCCGTACCAGTATCCAGCCCCCAGTTAACTATTCTAGAGTTCTCGCCAGAGTCCCTCCTGCTGGTGATGTAGTTCAACACCTTGTGACCCGGGGTCATATCACTAGGTGTCACCACCACAAGGGGTTGTAACCTGGTCAGCTACCCGCGACTCAAGACAACTCTGGAACATTTCACAGCCTACGAATGCATCAAAGAAACAAGAGGGAAACAAATGAATAATGAAGTAATGAGTGAGGGCTTGGGGTAAGAGAGGAAGGAAGATAAAGGTGGGAGGAGCGTGGTCAGGTGAAAGGGGGAGTGGGAGAGAGGTGGAGGAAGAGGAGAAGGAAGTGGGGAGTGTGTAGGAAGTAGTAGTAGAGGAAGAAGGGTAGATAAGTAGAAGTAGAAATAGCTGCCCCCATCCATTCGCTCAGTACATACAAGACAAGGAATGGCACTTGTCTGTATCACCAAATTAACCAAGGACTTCATATACCAACTCTAACCATGTACTCATTAAATCAGTAACCTCAGAGGCTCTCTCGCCTCGACTCACAAAGCTCTCGGAGTCGAAGCTAAAGATAATTTGAATACTCAATACATCAGTGATATCTCACATGATAAGTATCATAAATCAGCCATTTAACTTATGGTTCACTATGTCCAGATTAAAATACAAGGTGAGTCATCACACAAGAATCTGAGAACAATACGGCTGTCTGCCCCTAATAAAACTAAGTTCCAAAGGTAACGAAGGACACTACAGCCGAATTAAAAGCAAAGGTCAACAAACTGATTGAAACTGTGAACGCCAAGAAATCCGGACTCCACCTGCCAAAGATCATTGGGGAATATAAACCTGGATATGCGTATGGAAATGTCAAGACACACAAGCCTGGAAACCCACTTCGGCCAATCATTAGCCAGATACCCACACCCACGTACAGACTGGCGAAGCGACTCAATGGCCTGCTGACTCCTTATGTTCCTTGCGCCTTCAGCCTGAAGTCTCCAAAGGAATTTGTTGACTTACTGCGGGGCACACGGGCCACAGGGATAAGAGCCTCGTTGGACGTAGAATCGCTGTTTACCAACGTACCTGTGGACGAGACAATCGGAATGATAGCCGACAGAGTGTATCGTGATTCCAGCCTGTACTCCTCTTGACATACCAGAAAATATTCTGAGGAAACTACTCCAAGCTTGTACTAAAGAGGCACCCTTCTTGAGCCCGGATGGGCACATGTATAAGCAAGTAGATGGGGTCGCCATGGGTTCTCCCCTAGGTGTCCTGTTTGGAAACTTCTACATGGGTACCATCGAGCAAAAAGTGTTAGTCGACATGAACTTGAAACCGGCCATATACTGCAGGTATGTTGACGACATTTTTACACAGGTACCTGATGTCAGACATCTGCAGGAGCTGAAGGAGGCATTTGAGCAGAGTTCCGTGCTGCGTTTCACTTACGAGATGGAAAAGGATGGGAAGCTGCCCTTTCTAGATGTAACAATCATGGAAAAGGGCGGAGGTTTCCACACTGCAGTCTACACAAAGGAAACGAACATAGGAATGTGCCTAAATGCCAACATCGTCTGCCCAGACAGGTACAAGAGGAGTGTTGTTAACGCATATGTCGACCGTGCTCTCAGCCACAGCTCAGAATGGAAGCAAGTCGACGAAGAACTCTGTAGGGTAAGGCAGGTCCTAGTCAATAACGGCTTCTCCAATGGTTTCGTCGAAGACATCATAAGAAGGAAAGTGAAAAGCCATGCAACCTCTGAAGAGACAACTAACACAACACCTATACCCCCTATTAGACTATTTTACAGGAACTTCTTTTCCACAGCTCATAAAACGGAGGAAAGGGTCCTGAAAGATATTGTTAATAGAAACGTTATCCCTACAGACAAAAATCAGAGGATACAACTGACGATTTACTATAAAACCAGAAAAACGGCCAGCCTACTCATGAGAAACTCTCCAGACACAAAACAGAACGCTTTAAAAGAGACTAACGTCGTCTATGCCTTCAAATGCCCTCTTGGTGACTGTAAGCTCCAAAAAACCCAGTATATAGGCAAGACAACAACATCTCTTTCTAGGCGTTTAACGATGCATAAGCAACAGGGCTCCATTAAGGAACATATAATCTCTTCCCACAACCAAACTATTGCCAGAGAAATCCTAGTAAACAACACAGAAACCATCGATAGATACAGCGATAGCAGGCGGCTTGACGTTTGCGAGGCACTACACATCAAGAAGTCAACACCAGCAATCAACAGCCAATTATTGCACAACTATATTCTACCCACCTCAAGACTCCGCTCCAATATAGAAGCATCAAGAAATATGGACCAATAGGCTTTCTACAAACACTTCTATTCAATATCCATTGTTTCGTGTTCTGTCTTGTGTTGATGAAATTAATACCCTATTAATATCACCTCTTGTTCTGTCTTGTGTTGATGAAATTAATACCCTATTAATACCACTTCTTGTTCTGTCTTGTATTAATGCCACATCACCCCTTCCACCTCACTCAATGTAGATATAAAATCGGAGATGCGTAAGTTCTATTCAGTTGTGTATTTGTGAACTAAAGTCTTTGAAAATGTAATAAGTTTTACGAAACGCGCTCGTGTCGCGTCAGACTAGAAATAAAAATGAATTTTGGAGAATTGATTTTTGATTTACCTCCAACAGTGAAAAGAAATGTACGAAAGATTGAGAAAATTCGTGTTAGAATTATTAATCTTACTTTTTCGGTCATATTTATATATTATATATATATATATATATATATATATATATATATATATATATATATATATATATATATATATATATATATATATATATATATATAGTATAATTAACAAACAACTAAAAGCATGTAATATCAATACTATCTAACATGGCAAATAACATTAGTGAATCAATGGCAAAATAATTAAAGGGTAATGTTCCTGCAGACAAAACTTGTGCTACATTACTACAACAGTAGAGAACACTTGACCGTATATGTTTCCCAGGTGACGTCTCTCTCAGCCAACTGACTCTCTCTCAGACACTGCCCATAATTCTTTCTCCCTCCGCCTTCATCCAAGATAATGGATGGTAACTAAGGACTTTAATTTTTACCACAATTGATAAAAACAATCGTTCTCAATTGTATAAGAATGTAAACTATAATATAATGGTCACATGCAAATAATATAAGTTACAATGCCACATGCTTAATCACAGGAAATTAACAATAATATGAATATTAAAAGGTGATATCTGGAACTCCCATAACTGAACAGGACCAGCATTCTAATCCCGAAACTAACAGGTATTAAACGTGTGACTAGAACACGCCCGCTCCTACCTAACTGTGTTGCCAAAGCATAAGATACATTACAAAAATGTATATATAGATATACAGATAAATGAAAGAATTGAACTTAATTAGTTTTATCATGAATTTATGTAAGTATCCAACTAGGGATACGTAACATTTTGTACCCTTTATGATGTTTAAGGTCCTCACTTTTACCGTACCTGAGTACCTGGAATTTATCACTGTTAAACATCGTGTTATTGTCTGCTGGCCAGTCGAAAACTTTATTAATATTTGCTTATAGTTTTTCAAAGTCTTTAACAGAAGTAATTTTCATGCTGATTTTTGTGTCATCGGCAAAGGACGATAAGAAGCTGTGATTTGTATTTGAGTCTATATCTGATATGAGAATATGGAAAAGCAGTTGTGCAAGAACTGTACCCTGAGAAGCAGAGTTTTTAGCTGCGCTTGGACTCGATTTTACATGGTTGACTGTTGCTCTCTGTGTTCTGTTCGACAGAAAACTGAGTATCCAGCGTCCTACTTTACCAGTTATTCCATGGTCACATTTATCGAATGCCTTTGCGAAGTTTGTGTATACCATATCTGCATTCTGCTTTTCTTCTAATGCTTCAGTGATTTTGTCGTAATAGTCAAGTAGCTGTGAGAGGCATGATCTTCCTGCTCTAAATCCATGTTGGCCTGGGTTGTGGAGGTCATTGGTCTCCATGAAACTAGTGACCTGACTCCTGATCACTCTCTCAAATACTTTTATTATGTGGGACGTTAGTGCAACTGGTCAATAATTCTTTGCCAATGCTTTGCTCCCTCCCTTGTGTAGAGGGGCTATGTCTGCTGCTTTAAGTGCATCTGGTATCTCCCCCGTGTCCAAGCTCTTCCTCCACACTATACTGAGTGCCTGTGCTACTGGGACCTTGCATTTCTTTATAAATAATGAATTTCATGAGTCAGGCCCCGGGGCTGAGTGCATGGGCATATTTTTCCTTATTTATCTTTCCAAATCTGTCACGCTCGTGTTGATATCAGTTATATTTACAGAGGTTTGGATATCACGCATGAAGAAGTTGTCTGGATCTTCCACTTTCATTCTGTGTATCGGGGTGCTAAACATGTCCTCATACTGCTTTTTTAGGATTTCACTAATTTCTTTGTCATCCTCCGTGTATGAACCTTCACTAATACGAATAGGTCCAATACTGGCAGTGGTTTTTGCTTTTGATTTCACATATGTGAATAAATATTTTGGGTCTTTCTTTATTTCTTGAAATGTTTTCTGTTCTAGTTGCCTTTGTTCAATCTGATATGAATGCTTCAGTCTCTGTTCGATTTCTTTAATCTCCCTGTTTAAATTATTCCTTCTTTGAATGGAGAGTCTTTCCAGTACCCAGGAAGTACCGCAGGAAGTACCCCAGGAAGTACCCCAGGATGTACCCCAGGAAGTACCCCAGGAAGTATCCCAGGAATTACCCAGGAAGTACCCCAGGAAGTATCCCAGGAAGTACCCCAGGAAGTACCCCAGGAAGTACCCCAGGAAGTACCCCAGGTAGTATCCCAGGAAGTACCGCAGGAAGTACCCCAGGAAGTACCCCAGGATGTACCCCAGGAAGTACCCCAGGTAGTATCCCAGGAAGTACCCCAGCAAGTACCCCAGGTAGTACCCCAGGAATTACCCAGGAAGTACCCCAGGAAGTATCCCAGGAAGTACCCCAGGTAGTACCCCAGGAAGTACCCCAGGAAGTACCCAGCAAGTACCCCCAGGTAGTACCCCAGGAAGTACCCAGCAAGTACCCCAGGAAGTACAGTTATGACAGTGGACAGTCTTCACACGAGACCCACTTCAAAATAATGGTCATTTTAAGTCAAATTGTAACAAGAGATTTCACCCCGCTAATTACTGCTCATGTTATAATTGTGCGATATTATATTCTGAAATTGTTTAGTTAGCCCTTGATTGGTGTATTTGGTGTTCCTTTATTATTTTACGGTTATTGGACATTATTATTTTATTATCAATTATGATAATGAACATAATAATTGGGTATACAATATTTTAGAATAATTGTGTTTCTTTATAATGCGTTGTATGGATAATTCGTTGATAATTGACGTAATTAAATCTTGCATAGAACATTTGAATCTTTAGAATAGTACTTGTGATATTTTATTTGGATATTATTGTCAGTCTTACTGCAATCATATCATAGTTTGTTTAACTATTACATAAATGATTTTTAATATGTTTTTCTTTCATTGTTTAATAGCTATTGTCACTTAGGTATCTTAAAATTGTTATCAGTGTTTGTTCCTTGTTAGTTTTACCATTTGTATGTGTTTAACATCTGATAATGAATACTGATAAGTAATCTAAACGTTATGGATTTTAATTGAAAAGTAAATAGTGGTCTCTGGGACCCACCACAGTGGTCTCTGGGACCCACCACAGTGGTCTCTGGGACCCACCACAGTGGTCTCTGGGACCCACCACAGTGGTCTCTGGGACCCACCACAGTGGTCTCTGGGACCCACCACAGTGGTCTCTGGGACCCACCACAGTGGTCTCTGGGACCCACCACAGTGGTCTCTGGGACCCACCACAGTGGTCTCTGGGACCCACCACAGTGGTCTCTGGGACCCACCACAGTGGTCTCTGGGACCCAACACAGTGGTCTCTGGGACCCACCACAGTGGTCTCTGGGACCCACCACAGTGGTCTCTGGGACCCACCACAGTGGTCTCTGGGACCCACCACAGTGGTCCCCAGCACAGTGGTGTGTGGGACCCACCTGAGTGCCCCGGGGTGAGGCAGCTGGCCAGGAGTGGCTGACCCCGGGCTAACTACCGCCTCTGGTAGTTACGTTAGCCCTGATAATACACTTGTTTAAGGAGACGCTCACGCCCAAGCGGCTCGACCAGCCACAGCTCGCCCGCCTCGGACGCCGGCACTCACACGCGCCCCGCTCCGCTACTTTGGCCACTCTGCTCCCGGGCATTAGAGGCGACTTTCCCCCGGTGCTGACAGACTTCAGTAATTCCATCACTGGCAGTGTACATACGGAAATGCGTGCGTGCACACAGGCGGGCTTCACGCGCGTGCGCACACACACATATACACACTCACGCAGGCACTCACACACACACACACACACACACACACACACACACACACACACACACACACACACACACACACACACACACACACACACTGTGGAGTCTTGCAGGGTTCAGTCCTTGGACCTAAACTGAATGTGTCTCTTAATATTGATAAAACTGTTCACTATATTCCCCCAGGGAAAGATGTGCAGGTCTCTTTACATTATACCCTCATTAGTGTAAAACAAATGTATAACACTGGAACTATGAGATGTATAACATGAGAAGCTATTGACAGTCATCTTCAAAATCTCAAACCAACTGAATCCTATGCCTTTGCTGATGGCTCCGTGCAGTTAGGCACTGGTAGAACAGGTTGTGCATGTGCAGTATATAAAGGGAATGAAATGATCATGTCTAGAACACAGAGATTGAACACCTGGGCAAGCACGACACAGACCGAGCTATTGGGCATTTATCTAGCCACTGAATACCTAAAGCTCAATAGTGTTGGAGTAATATTCTGTGACTCTAAAAGTCCTCTGCAGTCCTTAAATGACCCATCACAATGTACGTCGGAAGTAGCTTGTAATATTAAATGGAATGTAATTTTCGCCAATGATAATAACTCTTGTATAAAATTTGTGTGGATCCCACCCCATGTTGGAGTTGGAAAACATGACTTTGTAGATCGATTGGTCAATGAGGCTTGCAGGAAAGAAAACATTGATTATGACTTTGGACTATCTAATGCAATTATTACAAACATACAAATTAAAGAAATTAATTCAGATTTAGAAGAACTAAGAAATGCCCAGAGACCTGAAAGCTGCAGTATTAAAAGTTATGACAAGTTTTGTAATAATAGGTATTTGTATGGTCAGCACAGTAACCGGACCAGGCAATGTGATGTAGTCATTGTGGTAATTCGCCTTGGCTATAGACACATCTGGCAGGTTAGTGAGGCTGAGCCACTACCAGAATACTCAGATTGTAAACTCTGTGATAAACCTTTAATGCATTCACTAGAATACTATATTGATGAATGAGAAACCGTAAAGGACTTTAGACCTCCTGGCCTCTTGTACCACCAACTGTGTAACTATTTCATTGAGTCAGGTGTTCTGGACGACATCCTAACAATTTATCCAATTGTCCATTTTGCTTGTCCATTTTAAAGAATGAAGAACAATTTTATTTAATTTACTTCCAAGCTGTATCACTTATGAACCCATCCCTGTCCTTGTGTGGCAGTGCACAATAGAAAGTTGTTTCCACAAATTCATACATCAAAACACTGATTGTAACCATGATATATATGTACTTCCGCCTACAGTTTAGACCTATTGTCTTGTGTATGACCCTCTGTCCTGCATGACAGTGAATACCAGCATTATCCTCACTTTAATAAGACTTAATTGAAATTCTCAGATTAGGCAAAATTGTAATTGATTTTGTCAATAAAGATGTTAATAATTATAATAATATACAGTTTCTGATATATGTAAATGATCTCCCAGAGGGTATAGAATCGTTCCTCTCAATGTTTGCTGACGATGCAAAAATTATGAGGAGGATTGAAACAGAGGATGATAGTAGGAGGCTACAAGATGACCTAGACAGACTGAGTGAATGGTCCAACAAATGACTGGTAAAGTTCAACCCGAGTAAATGTAAAGTAATGAAACTAGGTGGTGGAAACAGGAGGCCAGACACAGTATACAGAACTGGAGATGAAGTACTTCATGGGGCAGATAGAGAGAAAGATCTAGGAGTTGATATCACACCAAACCTATCTCCTGAAGCTCACATAAAAAGAATTGCATCTGCGGCATATGCGAGGCTGGCTAACATCAGAACAGCCTTCAGGAACCTGTGTAAAAATCATTCAGAACCTTGAATACCACATATGTAAGACCAATCCTGGATATGCGGCCCCAGCATGGAGCCCGTACCTTGTCAAGCACAAGATGAAGCTTGAAAAAGTTCAGAAGTAGGCCACTACGCTAGTCCCAGAACTAAGAGGCATGAGTTACGAGAAAAGGCTGCGAGAAATTCATCTCACGACACTGGAAGACAGAAGAGTAAGAGGAGACATGAGCACTACCTACAAAATTCTCAGGGGATTTGACAGGGTAGATAAGGATTAACTGTTTAACACGGGTGGTACACGAAAAAGGGGGACACAGGTGGAGACTGAGTACCAAAATGAGCCACAGGGACGTTAGAAAGAACATTTTCAGGGTCAGAGTAGTTAACAGGTGAAATGCATTAGGCAGTGATGT